AGATCTCGGCACATGGGCCAGGTCTAGCCTATGGCCTTCCCACCTTGGCATTCCAATAGCTCACCCAGGCTCTGACACAGAGCCGAGCTCCATAAATGCCTGTGAACAAACAGCCGACTGTTAGCGAAGGCGGGCGCAGTGCCCCGTATCACTGATTGTTTTGAAAAGCGAAAGCCTGGCCCTGGCCGGGTAGCTCCATTGGCTAGATCATCATCTGGATATGCCAAGGCTGTGGTTCCATCTCCCGTCAGGGCACACACAGGGATCTACCAATGAATGCATAAGTAGGTGGAACAGCAAACTGATGTCTCCCTCCCTCCTTCTCTCTCTCCCTCAAATCAATATTTTTTTAAAGCGAAAGCCTCAGATAAGAACTGTTGGGTAGTATCTACTAAAGTTGAACATACCGTGACCGAGCAGTTGCACCCCTAAGTGTATACTTAACAGAAGTGTGTACCTAGGTTCACCAGAAGACATTTACTAGAATGTTCTTAGCAGCGCTTATTACAATAATACCTTCATAGCGGAAACGCCCCAAAAGCTCATCAAAGAGCAGTAAATAAACACAATGAAATACAGTCAACCCTCTCTATCTGTAGGGTCTGCATCCAGGGATTCATCTAAAGGCAGAGCAAAAATATTTGGAAAAAATATTACATTGTTGCTGATGTGTTTCACATGTCTCTATAATTTGGTCTAGGGTGGTTACCTCTGCACTGAACACACACAGACTTTTTTCCTTGTTATTATCTCCTAAACAATACAGTGTAACAACTATTTGCAAAGCACATACATTGTATTAAGTATTATAAGTGATCTAGAGATGATTTAAAGTATAGGGGAGGAAGGGTGTGGCCTATGTGCAAGTACTATGTCATTTTATATGCGGGACTTGAGCATCTCAGGATTTGGGTTTCCTGAAAATGAAAAGGAAGTCGAGTTGGACGTGGACACCAAGAGAAAGCACCCAAACAACTCACGTTAGAAAGGAGGTCAAAGGGCGCCTCCAGAGGACAAGGAGGAAACCCCAGAGGTGGAGGTTAGTAATGACTTTCTCTGCCAAGGGGTGAATCGTGAGCTGATCTCCTTTCAATTCCCCAGACCTGCTCACTCTGCCCTTTGGACCTTTGCACAAGCCCTCTCCTCTTTTAATTCTGCTCATCCCTTGGTCTTTGCCTGGGGGGACTAAGCTTGGGGTTGATTTTGGACTAATGAGTCTGACTCACCTGGATTTGAATCCTACTCAGTCTTTAAATCTCAGCTGAGAGCCCACCCGATCCAGCTTTTCATGACCCCTTGAAATCTGCACATGTTGCACTTCTCTCTTACAGCACCCGCCTCACTATAATTCTTCACATCAGACTGGAAGCTCCTTGTGAGCAGGCGCACATGCCTAGCTGCTCACTGCCGCATCCCCAGGGCCAAGCACAGAGCGGGTACTCAATGTAGCTATTGCAAGAACAGAGGAAAGTGCTCCCGCAGCCGTCAGATGATGGTCTGCCCCACAGGGCTGGCCTCTTTTCTATAACATGCAAATAGTCACTTGCCCATAAGCCTGAATTCCTCTTACTGATTTTTTAGCATCTTCCCTTTGGGGGAAGAAGAGGCCAGGCACTTCCTATTAATGTTTGAAGCTTAATACTTTAGGTGGGTCATTCTCAAGTCAAAATGCAGAGTGCTACAAAAATGCTAGGCAGAGGCAGCATCCACATGGCGATACTAAAGACCGTCAGAAGAAGTGGTCCCAGAAGAGTGGAGGTGAGGGTGGGCTCTAGGCTTTAAGCTGCTCTGAGACCCTTTCCATTTGTGGCTGTCCGGATTAGCACAGATGTGCGCTCATTGCTTCCTGGAGTAGAAATGCCTCCCTCTAAAACAGAACTTCCCAATTTCGGCACTAGTGACATTTGGGACCAGTCCATTCTTTGTGGTGAGGGTCTCTCCTGTGCATGGAAGTGTGTTTTGTAGTGTAGTGGCTTGAATGGTGCCCTGCCCCAAATTCACGTCCACTTGGAACTTCAGAATGTGGCCTTGTTGGAAATAAGGATCTTTGCAGATGTAATTAAAGATCTTGAGATGGAATCATCTTGGATTTAGGGTTGGCCTTGAATCAAAGGACTTCTTTTTTTTAAAAAAAGATTTTATTTATTTATTTTTAGAGAAAGGAAGGGAGGGAGAAAGTGTGGGAGAGAAGCACCAATGACTCGCCTCTCACAAACCCCCAATCAGGCACCTGGCCTGTAACCCAGCCGTGTGCTCTGAACGGGAATCAAATTGGCGACCTTTTGGTTTATGGGACGATGCCCAACCCACTGAGCCACACCAGTCAGGGTTGAATCACATGAGTTCTGTCCTTATGAGAAGAGGAGAGGACACACAAGGCACAAGGAAGAAAGCCAGGTGAAGATGGAGTGATAGGGTTACAAGTCAAGACACGCCAAGCATTGCCAGAAGCCGCGGAGGCTGGGGAGGATCCTTCCCTAGAGGCTTCGGAGGGAGCACGGCCCTGCCAACACCTTGTTTGAGGACTTCTCACCCCCAGAATTGTGAGACGATACATTTCTGTGGTTTTAAACCCCTCTGTTTATGGTTATTTGTTACATAAGTATTGGGAAACTAATACAAACGCCACCTTTGGCTTCTATCCTCTAGGTGACGATAGCATCCCTCTTGGTTATCACAAACCAAAATGTCTCCAGGTATTTTCTAATGTCTCCTAGGAGGGCGAAATAATCCCTGACCTCCGCTTGACCCCCAACCACTGCTCTAACAGGGCGGGGGGGGGGATATAATGAGAAGAAAGCACACAGCAGGGTGAACCTGGGTTTGAATCTCAGCCCCACCCAGTAAAGCTACGTGACCTTGGGAAAGTTGCTAAACTTCTCTGGAGCTCAGTCTCCTCCTGAGGGAGATGAGGGTTGAGAAGGTACCTGCATCTCCCAGGACCGACCTGCTGATGCAACGCGATAATGGGTGGAATGTGCTTAGCACAGTGCCCGGCACGTAGCTAGCCCTCAGTAAATAGTAACTGAGACAATAATCGTTATAAGGGTTTTTATTTAGCTATATCACCAAATTGGTAATAACTATATTAAGAAATAACAATGGCAACTGTCATTATTATTATTTAAAGCTTGCAAGCCGAGTCAGTTTCTCACGTCATAACCTACTAGGGACTGCTGCCAAACTGACCGGCCAGGAGCTGTTTCTCAAAAGGCATGACATTTCCTGCTGTGGGCTGCGCGGTCTTTTTCCAGAATTCCAGGTATTGCATCGTGATTTCCTCACTGCACCTCCCTTAAAGGGTCCCGTGGCACATTTTCTCACCACTGGTACTGCTAGCTCTGCTGGGCCTGCTGTATTACACAGCCCCACTGGCTCGGCTGCTGGCGCCACGGCTCGGTCCCACCGCGGGCCCCTTTCATTTTTCGGGTCCCCTTGGGTCTGGCACCCACTGGTATCACCTGGTCTATGAGCATAGTAAGTATTTCTAAATGTGGCCTGCATTGCTCCTGGAGTCCAAAGAGGCCAACCGGCAGAGGGAAGAGGGCGGGGGCAGGGCTCAGCCTCTCTGCTGTCATCTCCAGTAACCCGCTGTGGCCCCAAACTTGTGCCCCTAAGCTGCAAGACAAAAGACTTTTGGAGTTTAGTGACTACATTTCCCTTGTGGGGGAAAGTGGCTGACCTTCATCCTAAACAGTTTATCACAGCTTGCTTGCTTGCTTGCTTGCTTGCTTGCTTTCTTTCTTTCTTTCAGATTTTATTTATTTATTTCAGAGAGAGAAGGGAGGGAGAAAGAGAGAGAGAGAAACATCTAGTGGCTGCCTCTTCATCCCCATCTGAGGACCCCGCCCACAACCCGGCCACCTGCCTGGACAGGGAATCGAACCCGTGACCCTTTGGATTGCAGGCCAGAGCTCAGTCTATGGAGCCACGCCAGCCAGGGCACAGCTTGCGTTCTAACCACACCCAGCACCACCCCGCCCCCCGCGCCCGCCCCAAGAAATCTGCCCATCCTGCCCTCTTCCATCGCAATGGGAGCAGATGGAAAGCTACCCTGCCGCCTCGCCCAGCCCTGCCGTGACACACAGCAGCGGGGATGGTAAGAGCGTGGACTTGGGGTCCCACCAGAGCCTGATTCCATTCTGGTGCGGCCGTGGACAATTCATCTAAGTATATATTTCTCAGTTCCCTGCTCTGTAAGATGAAGTCCATCATAGCAATTTCATTAGGCTTTTGCGGAGGAAGCGAGATTGTAGCTACGAGACGGTGTGTGGCTCGACCTCGTTGCGGCCGTCACTCCAGGCTGCAACGGCTGATGCAGAGGCGGCGCCCCTTCTTTAACTGGAAACTGCTTGAGGGCTGGAACGGTCTGCTCCTCACATTCTGCCAAGATGCTCGGGACACACTCGGTGCCTGATTAGGGACGTCTATTGAATTTATACCCATTTAATAATCAGACAGGTTTTGTTCCTTTCAGGAAAGCAGGATACTGGTATCCAAGAGGAAGTGCAGCTAGTGTGTATGAAGGAGGTGGCGAACAGAGTAGAGCCCTCACAGTGAGGTAGGGGGAGGGAGACACTCCAACAAATCGAATTCCTTTTCTGGGTCTCAGTTTCCTGGTTTGGAGAATGAAGACAGTAATGGATATCATTGCAAGGCTGTTGCTGGGATATTCCTAAACTATGCTTCACACGGTGCCAGGGGCATACCAAGTGCTGAATAAACAGTAGCTGCTATTATTATCGTTTTAAGAATTACTGTTGAAGAAGTAAAAGCCAACGCACTTAGGTGTCTGGTCAAGGACAACGGCCTGGCTCAGGTCTGCAGGGAGACGGGCGGGGAAGCGCTGGGCGGGGTCTCTACAGGGGGCCTCTAGAGACCCCGCCCTCCGCATTTGCATTCGGTCGCTAGGCAACGCACTGCGTGGTGGCGGCCCGGCTGACGCGTGGCTGCCCGCCCCCGGCGCTCTGGGCGTAGGCAAGGGCCGCTTCGTTGGAGCGATGGCTGAAGAGGACAGCGAGATGCCTGCCAGAGAGCTGCAGGTCGCGGAGCAGCTGCCTGTTATCCAGCTGTGCGGGCTGGTAGAGGAGCTCAGGTACCGGCCTGCCGGCTGCCAGGCCGGCCCCTGCTCACCCTGGGGGCCCGGGCCTTGGTGCAGCGTGGGGACAGCAAGTCCGCGTTGGACAGTGGGGAAGCTGAGACCCCACGAAGTGGGGAAAACACTGGTTTTTGCCCTACACCCCTGTGCGTCCGCCGCCACTCAACTAACAAGCCCTTGCTGGAGCCAGGGCGAGGGCGTGGGGCCGGCGGTGGGAAGCCCCGAGCGTAACTGGTGAAGCCGGAGCTTCAGCCAATGGGTCTCCCTGGTGCCACAACTGGGCGCTCAGCCGTTGCTGTCCTCTGTGGCCGTAGGTTGGACCAGGTGGCCTCTTTCCAATGCTAAGGATCTATGATAAAATGAAGGTGGCAGCCGAGATATTTTTAGAATGAGGCAATTTATGCCCGAGCCAATGTATAAGCATGGAGAGAGACAGCAAGGGATGACTGGCCCAGTGTTCTGTATTTTTAGCAGTCTGCCTCCTACCTGCTATCGGATGTAAATTGGATATCAAGATTCCATGGTGTAGCTGAGGCGATTGTACAACTTACTCGTCTCACAAAGAGCATCTCGCGGCTCTGGCTGCACAGGCTTTCTGCCGTGCATCTGTAGCTAGGTTAGGTCAGACCTGAGGTATGGTTACTAATAGCTACTATTTTTCTAGTGCTCATTATGTGCCAAGTGTTTTGCATACGTGACCTTATATCATGGCACAGTAACTCTAGGAGGTGGGTGAGGAAACAAAGACGCAGAGGTGAAGTCACCTTCCGAAGGTCCAACAACTAGTCCGTGGTAGTGCTGGGATTCAGGCTCAGGTGCAAGTCGGCTGCCTGCAGGGGGAACGTGGCAGAGACTGAAGAAGAAAGATGCTTCGATGTATCGGGCTTTCCATCAGCCCAACAGGAATGAGCAACATAGGAAAATATCAAAGCTGTTCTCTCTCTTACGTAAAAGTATACATGCACATGTGTCACAAGTATGCATGCCACAGACATGTATATATGAAGTGAAGAAGTTAGAGTCATAATCTTCGCATCTACAGGATAAACTAGGTTTGTCACATCTAGTTGTTTAGAAACCACCTGTTCAAATCTTCTCCACCATTTATAGTAAACTTCCAGTGGATACTTTATCTGTTGGTTGCTGGAAGTTAAAAAGCCTGAGAACATAAACCAAAGGAAAACTCTCAAGATTATGGATGTGCATAACTTTAAGAATGCAGTTAATTCTGAAGGATTTCCCAATGAGTTAGAAAGTACTTGAAGATGAAACTTGGAGCTTCAGGTCAGCCACAATTTTCGATGTAAACACCAGTGCTTTGGAGCTCATTAGATAGATTTAAGAAATATATTGCCCTGACTGGTTTGGCTCAGTGGGTTGAGCACAGGACTGTGAACCAAAGGGTCGCGGTTGGACACTCGAGAGGCAACCACACATTGATGTTTCTCTCCCTCTCTTCCTCCCTCCCTTCCCCTCTCTAAAAATAAATAAATTTAAATATATATATATATATCTCTCAAATACTTAAATAGCACTTGCTATGTGCCAGGTACTCTCCTGAAGGCTTTGTATTTGTTATTGCAACCCTAAAAGATAGGTACTGTTATTATTCCCATTTTACAGATGAGGAAGCTGAGGCACCAAGAGGTTAAGTGTCTTGCAGAAGGTCATACATAGCTAGTAAGTGTTAAATACTACTTATTTGGTGTTTAAACTCCTATTAATAGAACTAACTCAGGTACACCCTGTCTTACAGCTACCGAAACTCAGCTCTCAAAACTGAGACAGAGATGTTTGAGAAATATTACAATAAAATGGATCCCAAGGATCAGCGAATTCCCCGATTATCTGAAGTTAAAAGACCAGGAACAGACTTTGCACAGGTACACACTGGAGATTTAAGTATTGTTTTAATCTGTTTGTCCCTTTAGAGGCAAATGGTATTTGCATATCTGTCTTTGGTGTACTTTCTTTGGCCAAGTGGCAGAGGACTTTGTCCCTGTTCTTATTTCGATTCTTCCATCCCCTTCAAGGTTTCTCTTTCAAGTCAGTGTAAAGGGCATCAGGCTCAATTAATAGTGGATTGACTCTCCCAGAATATCTTTGTTTGAAATAATGCCCTTAAACTGGCAGAATCTGTTTAAAAGGCCCAGCCAGCCACAGGAAGAGGTGAAGTGGGCGTGGTGTGAGCACTGGAAAGTTCCTCCCTCACTAAGAAGGGCCAGCCAGATGGCCTGATTTTGCCAGAGTAGTTGATTTTTCAAGAGAAGCTGGAAATCTGAGTTATTTTGGTGGGTAATTAATTTCTTAAATTTAAAATTCTGTGTAAGCTTGTCCTTTGAGGACCAAACGGTCCCATCTTGAGGTCCACATATTTCCTGGGCCACCAGCTTGTGACCTGTGGCTTAAATGCACAGGAAATCCAAAATATTTGTCTCTTCATTTGTTTTGGATGAACACCGTGCCCCCGGATGTGATTTCTCCTCTGTGTTCAGTTCAGGAAGCACTGAGCTCCAGCGTTTCCCTGACACAGCCTTGAATGCTAGTCTCTAGCAAGTCCGCAGTCTCTCCAACCTTGAGACACTTTCCCTTATTTTTTTTTTAGTTCATTGTCAGTCATAGGCCTTTGAAGTACTTAGCTCGGGGCCTCCTGTTGACTAGTGAAATGGGTGTCAATTCAGACCTACTATCCAGAATCCTTTCATATTGAATATGTTCTCTCTGGCTGTCATTCCAGTAATTTCCAGGAGGTCTGAGAGGTCATTGCGGTGGTTTGTTACCACCTTGAGCTGCTTTGTTACCAATTCCTGCTTGACAGTAGCTTTGTTTTTCTTGAGGTGTAGTTGCGAGGCAGGCATAGATCCAAATCCCGCCAAGGTACTGACCTTATAACATGCCTCAGCGTTGACCAAAAATGCGACCTTGTGCAAAAGGAGCTGGAAGACATGAAGGAGGACATAAGGCACCTGCGAGCCAATGCCGAACGGGACCTGCAGTATCATGAGGTAAACCTTTCTCTCTGCAGGACGTCCCACCTGAGCTCCCCACTTCCACCCTGCCCAGAAGCACCTATGGTATGTTCATCTAATTGTGGTCCTTCAAAAGAAATACAAGTAGATTAAGATACATTGAGGGCCCACCTTTAAGGAACTTACTACCTGTTTGAGGAGACAACACATTTTAAACATTTTTAAAGAAAATTTCAACAATATACAAATGTAGAGAGGCTAGCACGGTAAACCTCTCTGTACTTAAAGATGCATAATTATTCCTTAATAATACAAGGAGTCTGAGGTTTAAGTCAGCGAGCTTGTTGAAAAATCCCCAAGCCACCCTCTGCATGCAACATGCATGACTACGGTCCTTGTCCTGTTGGAGACTGACCGGGTCGGTGCTCCTTCAGAAGACAGACGTCCCTGTTAACGAGGTTGCCCATGGGATGAAGTGGTTGGCTGGTATCTGAGAGCCATGTTTTATGAACAGTAAATATTTCTGTTCTCTTTCTAAATTTTTCTATTTCTAAATGTGGGCGCACACAGAATCACACTCATGGTCTCCGGAGGGAAGGGTCAGTGGGTGCCTGTCTCCACGGACCGAGCCACCTGTAGTGCCCACGCCAGCCCCTTCCTTCCTTTGCTCCCTCCCTTGTGCCCTCGCCCCACTTTCCTTCTTTCTCTTTTCGGATGGGCGTTGTCGGGCTCCAGGGTGTGAAAGGAGCTCAGGACGCGGTCGCACTGTCCTCACGTGCCCGCTCGTGTGCTGTAAATTCCCAGTGTGGGCTGGAGTGGTCAGTGCGGGCTTTGTCGAGGCGGTGCGGCTGGACATGGGCCTGGCACAGCCTTGACGAGTGACAGCATTAGAGTGAGGGATAAGAAGAGAAGGCTTTCCTTGGAAGGTGAATGACATGAGCAAGAAAGTGAAGGTGGGAACGGACATGGCAGGTTCTTGACCGGGGGGGCACCGGTGTGACCGGAGAAGTGGGTGTTTTGGAGGGCGGTGTCAGGAAAGCAGGCGGAGGGGGGCTGTGAGGTCTTCACAGCCAGGCAGAGGCGTGGCTCTCTGACGTCTCAGAAAGCAAGACACCAGTGAGGCTAACTGAGCAGAGATCGACACGTGGGAAATGGCTTTGAACGTAGACTGGTGTTCTAGCGCACGAAGACGCTGGGGAGGGAAGAGGCTGGGGCCAGAGGCCCGCCAGTGAAGGGAGGGGCTTTTGCTTCTCAGCGCCCAGTGATTTGCTCTGCAGCTACAGATCACTTCCTGTTTTATTCTTTAAAATAATATGTGTTTCTGTGTTTTCTTATTTAAAGATAATCTCTATGCGTTGTAGCAAAATTTGAACATACAGGTAAGCTGAAAGAAGCACATTTGAAAACAGATTCATGTGCCCATGTGCATTTCTTTATGAAGAGATATCATCTTACCAACTCTATTTTCATTTAATAATGTCTTTCCATGTCAATGCATATATTCATTTATAACATTTTTATTTTCAAATTACAGAAGTTTATAGTAAGAGAGCTTCTTTGTCTCCCCGTTAATCCATCTCTCCTGACAGGACTATGGTTAATGTTTTGGTGTATATCCTTCCAGATATTTTTATATTATATATTTATAATTTTTAATGGATAGATAATACTTCCAACATGAAAATACATGTTTATAAAGATACCTGAGGCTCTGTTTTTGTTTGCCCCCTTTTTATGGAAACTATGAACTTTTATGAGGCACGCTTTTAAATACTAACATTCATAAAGCCAAATTTGTATCTTAAGGATATATTTCTAAGACTAAAAAGAAACGTTATGTATTAAGACATGAGAGGCCTGAGAACAGAGGTTTCCTCAGAGGGTTATGTCCTTGAGAATTTTTGGAAACTGTTCTCTCTTTGTGCTGATTCCTCCAGGCTATCATTGAGGAAGCTGAAATCCGGAGGGCTGAAGTTCAGAAAGCAGTGAACGAGTTTGAAAAAGATATTCTGAAAACCATAGCCAAGAAGAAAGGGAGTATTTTGGCAACTCAGAAAGTGATGAAGTACATCGAGGACACGAACCGCTGGAGGGTGCGTCGAGGGGAGGGGAGGGCTTAGGAAGGGAGAAGAGATTCATAGAACGAAGGCGCAGAAGGGGCCCCTGGGAGGCAGCCACACTCCAGCTGGGCCACCAACAATGTTGCTCACACATGCAGATTTTTAACATCTCCCAAAATGTGTGCCTTTTTTTAAAAAAAGATTTTATTTATTTATTTTAGAGAGATGAGAAGGGAGGGAAGGAGAGAAACATTAATGTGGAGAGATAAATCAATCGGTTGTGTCTCACACACCCCCAACCTGGGACCTGGCCCACAATCCAGGCATGTGCCCTGATTGGGAATCAAACCAGGGAGACAGCCACTCAATCCACTGAGCCACGCAGGCCAGGGCTCTGTGTGTGTGTGTGTGTGTGTGTGTGTGTGTGTGTTAAAATGCAAGTTTATCAAGGCTAAAATCAACTAGGCTGGCTGAATATCAATAGTGTCTCAGATAGATGACTTCTTTTTTATTGTTGCTATTTGTTTCAAGAGCTGATATGTTTTCTTGACAAATGTGTGAGCCTATCTAGTCAGGTGACTGCGTGGCATGGGACAGGTGTATCTCAAGCTCTTTGAGTTTCATAATTATAAGAATGAGGCATAAAATGCTCCTTCACTTCCAAAGATTTTGTAGTGTGTCGAGCTTTGGATCCTGGAGGTAGGTAGGCTTACTAACCCTCATATGTAATAAGTAATAAAAATTATGTAAACTACCTTGAGAACAGGCCTGGCTGGTGTGGCTCAGTGGATAGAGTGCTGGCCTGGGAACCAAAGGGTCCCTAGTTCGATTCCCAGTCAGGACACATGCCTGGTTTGTGGGCCAGATCCCTGGTTGAGGGTGTGTGAGAGGCAACTGATCTGTCTCTCACACGTCAATATTTCTCTCCCCCTCTTTCTCTTTCCCTTCCCCTCTCTCTAAAAATAAATAAATAAAATATTTAAATAAAATAAACTACCAAGAGGACAAAAGACCAAAGAATCATAAGATCACTTTGTCAGAAAAGGCCCCTGTACCCAAATTATCTTGAATTTGAAAGCAATAGAAAATTTGCGTGGAGCAGGCCCAGCTTCCTCTGCTTCTTGGTCATGAATGAAAGGCTATAGCAACACCAGCCTAGGTAGACTGAAAAAAAAAACAAAACCCTTAAAATAAGTGACTGATTGTTAGGGCTCAAGGTTTGGTTTATAGGTGCAGACTTACCGTCTTTTCAAACCAACGGGGAAGAAGAAAAGAAATGGATTAAAATTTACTTTTGTTTTTAGGATCACATGAAGGATAAATTAAGTTTGAAAAACGTTTCTCTCAAAGTCCAGAGGAAAAAGATGCTTTCACAGCTGAGGCAGGTACGTGTCTTTTTTCTTTTGTTTTAAGTTTGCTGCAGTAGATAGAACGATGTCCACCCAGAGATATCTGTGTTCTCATTCCTGGAATGTGAGCATGTTGCCTCACATAGCAAAAGGATTTCACGGATGTGACTCGGTGAGGGCCTTGAGATGGAGAGATAATCTTGGGTTCTCTGAGCGGGCTCAGGGTCACCACGGGTCCTTAGAAGGGAGGCAGGAGCTGAGAGAGAAACACGGTAACAGAGGCAGAGCTCAGAGTGACGTGTTTTTAAGACAGAGGAAGGAAGGAGTCACGAACCAAGGAATGCGGGCGGCCTCTAGAAGCTTGGCCATGGCAAGGAAACAGGGTCTCCTTAGGGCCTCCAGAAGGAGTGCAGGCCCGCCCGCACCTGACTTTAGTCCAGAGAGCTATCTCGGGCTCTGACCTCGTTAGCTGTAAGATGATAGATTTGTTGATAGATTTGTGTTGTTTTGTAAGCCACTGAGCTTTGTGGTGATTTGTTACAACAGCCATAGGCAACCAGTCCAGTTCCTGAGCTGGTAATTGGGTATATGGATCGGCTTGAATTTAAAAGCCCCTCCCGTCATACTTGTTGACCGTTTTGGGGGGCGTGACCTGAGTAGCACGGCTGTTGCGTTTACGGCAAGTCTTTGAACAGCTGGCCACATGGGCTGTCGACTAAAGGCAGTAATGCCGATGGGAAGGGTCCGCAGAGTGTGACTATGTGGCTCCATCCTCTCTCGGCTCAGCACTTTTGTTATTAGCTTGAATCGAGGCACTGGTGGCATGTGTCCAGCAGCTGTGGCCTGATCAACTTGGGATCTCAAAAGACTCAACAAGCTGGGACAGCTTGAACAACAAAAAGTGACTAAGGACATCTCTAAGGTCCTCTGATTTGATCCCCAGCACCCCTGCACAGGTACCAGACAGCTGAGTCATAGAGCACCCGGCTGGGGGCAATGCTGGGGTCTTGGCTGCACTCCAGAACCACAGTGCCCCAACAAGGAAGGCGTGGTCTTGCTCCAGCGTGTTCTGAGCGGCCCTGCCTGGAGCACTGTACCCTCATCAAGTACGTGCTCCTTGAGGCCGGGGAGTGTCCTGTTTACTCAAGTCTCCGTCCCCAGGGCCTAGGGCCGGGTCTGGCACCAAGCAGATATGCAATCCCTGTTTGTTGAATGACTGAATGATGCCTCCCAAAATGTCAACCAGTGTTGTAGGCTGGGAGCCATACGTGCGGAAGTCACAACCTCATATCACTTCTTTCCCATTTCTGAGCTGCAGAAGGAAGAGGTGGGCGAGGCCCTCCACGATGTTGATTTTCAGCAGCTGAGGATCGAGAATGCCCAGTTCTTAGAGACGATTGAAACAAGGAATCATGAGCTGATCCAGCTCAAGCTGGCATCGGGAACCACGCTGCAGGTCCTCAATGCATACAAAGTAAGGTCCGTCCCGATGCCCGGTCCCCGGGGGCTCCCCGTCCCACCTTTCCACCCACAGCCAGGTTCCCGCGAGGGCTTAGGTATCCCGCACCCTGCCATTGTTCCCCAAGTTCTCCTGTGAGAGCCACATCTCCTCAAACACGTCGAATGTCCCCACAACCCTGGTTGCACATCAGAACCACCTGGGGAGCTTTCGCTTTTTTAAAACTGTAAAGACGCCCTAGTCTCACCCTGACCAATTGAATTAGGGGGTGAGGGCCATGCATCTTTTTTTTAACTCCCTGGATGATTTTTATGCACAGTGAGTTTGGAGAACTACCACATTTAGGGCCTGTTTTATTAGGGTGTATAATAAGCACCTCTCTGCCTAAAGCCCTGCAAAGGAAAACCATCTTAGCTATAAATCAGAAAACTACTGAACAATTCCTCATCCACACAGAACGCTTTTGGGAGAAAAAAAGGCACTATTAATAATTAAGCAGGACCATAGGGATGAATGGGACCTGTCCCCGTCCCCAGCAGACCAGCCTGCCAGATCTCCCTGTTAGCAAATGGCTAAGTTGTGGTTACTACCTGGGCCAGGGTGTCCTGCCCACCAGCCAGAGAGCTAAGGATGGTTTTTACCGAATGTTTGCCACCTATTTGATAGAGAACACTACCTTTGAAACCCAACTGAGCAAAACTGGTTTCTCCCGCAGAAATTCCATGCTTCTTAGTACGCCTGTAGTCCAAAATACTGTACTTCATTATTGCATCTGAAATTTTATCAACAAAACATTTGCGGAAATTTGTGTTTTCTCTTGTTCACATAAGTAACTACGTAATATCCTCAGCTTTGCCTCTGGGCCTGCAAAGCCTACAATATTTGCCATTTGTCTGGCCTTTCACAGGGCAGGGCTGCTGACCCCTGGCCTGGGAGCCGGCGGGCAGCAGTGGCTGCAGGCGTCAATGGCTTACGGGGGGGTCTTACTTTAGCCCACACAGTGGCATCTTAAACTGTGAATTTGAATGTGTGTAGTCTAGGCTAATGTTCGTCCAGTATTTTCCTTTTACAAATGAAAAACCTGAGGCCCAGAGAGGCAGCGTAATTGCCAGATGCAAACAACGAGTTTGTGACAGAACTAGGGGTCCTAGTCCAGTGCGTGTCCCAGCTGACCCAGGAGCCTTCTCCAGGCGCAAAGCGCGTCGACAGTGCTGTGCTGGCATTCTGAAACCCGTGTGTCCAAACGCCCAGCAATCCTCCGTTTGGAACTTAACCTTGTCTGTCGTCAGCCTATCTGCTCTCTGTTATTTCGAGATGCAGCCCATCCTTGTGACTCCCAGGCCCTTGCTGGCTGCAGAGCTGGGCAGTGTGAGGTCAAGTCACATTGGACCTTGATGTTATCCTGAAAAATCACCACGGGGCCTGTCTGATCGTGTGGGGGAAAGCCAGGGGTTGGGAGTGGAGCTACTGGTTTGTAAAATGAGACAGCCAAGTCTCAGGGCCTGAACTCTTTAGCACACGCTGCAATACCTGAGCAGCAGGGACGCAGGCCGTAGTAGGCGGAATGGCAGCCATTTCCGCCTGAATCCCAGGGGCCATTGTACTTGCAAATGAGAGTACGCAGATGATGGAGACGCTTGCAAGAGCCCTAAGGTGGACGCAGCGAGTCCGGGGGAAAGGGAGGAGGAGCAGCACTGAGTGATGCAGTCAGGCCTGGGTTTGAATGGGGACTCCCCTGGGCAGGATGCTTCACCTCTTGGAGATGGGCATCTGTGCTTCAGGGCTTCGGCTGGGCTGGGCTGGGCTGCGTCCCCAGCACCAAGGACAGTGCCTGACCAAAGCAGGCACTCAGCTACTTCCTGCTGAATGGCCTGCTGGTGGCTCAGGTGTACGCTTAGGGGATGGGAGGGTGCAGGAGGGACTGCTGACGTGAGTATCAAACATCCAAGTGTGAGACCGTATGCAAAACATGCAGCCCTGGCTGGCGTGGCTCGGTGGACTGAACGCCAGCCTGCAAACCGAAGGGCCTCCAGTTCAACATGTTTGGGGTGCGGTCCGGGTTCCCCAGTTGGGGGCCAACAAGGGCAATCGATGGATGTTTCTCTTGCACATCAACGTTTCTTTCCCTTTCTTTCTCCCTCCCTTCACCTCTCTCTAAAAAGTAAATAAATGAAATCTTTAAAAAACCCAAAACATGCAGAATAACTTCCTCTTTACCAAATGTGCCCAGCACCTGTGGCGGGCCCAGCACAGGGTTAAGTGCAGCCGGGAAGGACACAGACACGGTCTCCTCTCTTCTGTGAGTTTGGTGGGTGAGCCTCAGTCAAGGGGTCAGGGACACCCTTCCCTCCCGCTTTGTGCCCGCGGCCCTGAGTGGTGGAGTCCGGTGTGTTGTAATCATTCGACTACAGCTTCGATGTGTCATCATTTAAGAGACTTTTATACATCTAATAACTTGAGAGTGTTTAGTAGATATTAATTAACTGGGTTTTTAAAATTAAATTTATTGGAGTAACATTGGTTAATAACATATCAATTTCAGGTGTACATTATAATTCCGCATCTGTATGCTCAGTTGTGTGTTCACCACCCAACATGGAGTTTCCTTTCGTTGCCATATACTTGACCCCCTTTGCCCACTTCACCCTCCCGTGTCACTCTTAACCGACTGTGAACTAGTGCTGCCTGGTGGTAGGGATTGTTCCAAGACTCCCCGCGCCTGGCGCATACACCCTGCCCAATCCTCGGGACTGTGGACAGGATGCAGAACGTTCTGTCCTGTCATTAGATTATATTATACGGCACCATGGACCTTAAAACAGGGAGAGATTACCTGGGTGGCCTGAACTAATCACATGAACCTGAAAGCAGAGAGTTTTCTCTGGAAGAGGAAGTCATGGAGTTGAAGCATGAAGGAGACCTGCTGGGTGAGAAGTTCCCCACTGCTCGCTCGGAGACGGAGGGGGCCCCGTGGAAGGGATCTGAGGGTGGCCTCGAGGAGCTGAGGGCCACCCCTGCGGACAGCCGAAAAGAGAACAGGGACCTAAGTCTCGCAACTTTAAGCAAAAGGCTTCTGCCAACAACCCGTGACCTTGGAAGAGGACCCCACCCCCAAACGAGGCCCACAGCCCTGGCCGATGCCTTGATTTGAGCCTTGTGGGACCCTCCCCAGGCAGAGGCTCCAGTCACACTCTGCCAAGGTGCCACACCGACGTCCTGCTCAGAGTCACACGCAGCTCCCTTCACAGCTTCTTGAAGGCCCTGCCCCACCAGAGCCAGCGACTCCTTGCAGTCCCCTTCTTTCCTGCCCTGTCTCTGTAAGTCGTGGTGGATGTCTTCCCTCTGCTCTCCTTCCTTCCCTTCTGAGCCACTGGTTTACAGTGAGCCCTGCCCTGCCCGCCCTCCCCACAGCCAATCCTGGGGGCGTGGCTCTGCCTCAACACCTGCCTCTCTCCGGGCTCCTTCCGGACCCTTCTCTCCCCCAGGCTCTCCTTTGATGGGATGGTCCTCCCTTCCCTTTTACCTGGACATACTTGACTTAATCTTCCAGCTCTTCCCAGCGTCCCATCCCCCAGGGAGACCTTCATGACCACTAGCCTCGCATTCCTAGTGCTTGGCCCAGGGGAAGTTTTTTATCTTCTTGCACCTCCATCCAGCCTGCAAGCTGCCCCCTGGCAGGGAAGGCCTACGTTGCCCCTCTGACCAGTGCCTGGGGCTGGGCGGCCGGGTTCTCCGGGTTTGTTGAGCGAGCTCCCTGGACCCACTGACTCCCTTGTCATCCACGCAGAGCACATCCCAGCTCCTTGAGGATGACTCCTTTCCCCTGGGGGGTGGAGGTTCTAAGGGGGCAACTCTATGAAGCAGGGGCCTGGGGGTAGGATGGGGGCAGCAAATGGCGCCCCAGGAAGCTGCGGGGCAGCCGCTGGTGTCAGGGTTCCCCCAACACCCGCAGGCCAAGCCCAGGTCCACGCGGCAGACAGTAGCGCGGCTGGGGGACTGCGAGGTGACGCTGTCTTAGTGCGAATCCTGGCCCCTCCTGGCCTCAGTCTGACCTTGGGCAAATCGTCTCACCTCCCTAGGAATCCGTCCCTCCCCTGCATTCTCGCAGGCGTGTCAGGCGCTGTGCCCAGCACTTAAGCAGCATTGAACGTCACCACCGCCCTGTGAGGCGACCAGACCCAGTTTAGGGAGGTTCTAGAACATGCCCACAGTTTCTCTTAGAGAGTGATGGGCGGGATTTGGGCCCCAGCCTCTGGCCACTGTGCTGGTGAGGACAGAACTCCTGGCCTTCTCTCGTCCCCCACCACCTAGACGCTAGGGTTCTGGAAATCTGGGTGGTTGCGGGAAGGGCAGGCCCAAGTCCCTGCAGGTCCCTGCTTTTCTCCTGCTTAATAAAGAGCCGTTTGTCCTTCATATAGTTCCAAGTGACCATCTTTGCTCAAGACTTGCTGTGTTGTTCTATTCCAGACCAGGCTACACCGAGCAATGAAAATGTCCATCAGTCTGGAAAAGGAGATCTTGCAGAGAAATGAGTTACTTGAAAAAATTGAAAAGGAAACCCTACAAGTAGAGGGGGTAAGAGAGAGTAAAATGTGCTATTTCTGGTATTTGTCCACAAGGGCCTGAGTCGATGTCCAGCAAGATCCAAGCCCCCTTGATTTTTATCTAGAAAAACCCAGACCCTAAAAATCAAAATATCTTTTGGCTTTTAAAGGAGAAAGTCGTACCTGGAGACTCCTGCCTACCTTTCATTAGTGGGTTAGGTTCCAGAGTCCGCTCGTAAGGTAGAAATCTTGCACAGTCCAAATACTCCTGAAGAATTCCTAAGTGGCCCATGAAATAAAATATTTAAAGTGTGGTGTACGAAACCTTGCAAAAAATGTATAATGCATGTCATAATGTAACTGATACCAGAAGAAGTACACACTCCAAAATGCAGTGTTCTATGTAAAGGAGAGGGAGGGATTTTTAGGTCTGTAACTCTTACTCAGTACAGTAGGTGCTTGGACGGTAGACCTGTGGTCTATGTCCTGGGCTCCCTCCAGGTGCTGTGGTCACCGCGTGAAATGAGGTGTGACCTCATCTTCTTTGTGATTGTTTTGCTGAGCACATGAACTTGAAATTCTGCAAGTTAAACGCACCTAGGAAGTGACTCGCAGAGGACTCTTTGGGGAAAGAGGGGCGGAAAGTTAGCACTGGACTTGTAGTAGCAAGGCCTGGTATCCGGTTCGGTGCTGCCAGTTTCCGGCCTTCGAACGAGGCAGGACTCAGTCTCCGTATCTGTAAACACCCCGCACAGCCCCAGTGGCAGTCGGCCAGGGACATGTACAGCAGTGCTCTGTCAGCCTCTAAAGCAGTGAACACAGTTATCACTGACACAGTGTCATTGTCTCGAATGGGCCTGAAGTGTTCCCAACAGTGTGTGGGGCCCCCAACCTGTCTACAGGAGCCAAAAAGCCACAGGATTATTGCGCCTGACCCGACATGCTCCACCAAAGAGCTGGCCTCAGTTCAGAGTGACCGGGAACAAAGTTAAAGCAGAAGTGTGTGCGCTTTCACCAGACAGAATTTCAGGGGTACTGGTTTGTGGGGGCCCACGTGTATTAGATTACAAGCAAAATGTGACAAGCATTTTTAAAAGCCTGGCATTCACTGCTTAGTATATTTTAGTTTTCTTGTAAACTTTGTCAACAGCTCTATTGGGATACAATTCACATACCATATAATTCATCCACTTAATATGTTCATTTTAGTGGTTTTATATTCACAGAGTTGAATAACTGTCAGAATAATTTAAGAACATTTTCATCACCCCAGAAAGAAACCCTGTGCCCATTAGAAATCCTTCCATGCCCTGGCCAGTTAGCTCAGTTGGTTACAGTGTCATCCCAATACACCAAGGTCGCGGGTTCGATCACCGGTCAGGGCACACACATGAATCACCCAATGAATGCATAAATAAGTGGCACAACAAATCTCTTTCTCTCTCTCTCCTCTGTCTCTTCTTGCTCTTTCTCGCCCACTCCCCCGGTCTTTCTAAAATCAATAAAGAAAAATTTTAAAAAGAAAAAAGAAATCCTTCCTATTCCCCGCCTCACCTCGCTCCCATCCTCCAGCCGTAGGCAACCATGAGTCTACTTTCTCGGTGACTTTGCCTTTTCTGGACATTTCCTATAAAAGGAAACATAAAATACATGGTCTTTTGTGACTGCTTTATTTTTTAATAATACTTTTAATATTCATATTATAGCATGTATCAGTACTTCGCTTCTTTTTACGGGCTGAATAATATTGCCTTGCATGGATAGATCACATTGTATCCATTCATCAGTTGATGGACATTTGGGCTGCTTCCACTTTTTGGCAATGACGAATAACACTGCTATGAACATTTACATACAAGTTTTTGTGTGAATGTAGGTTTTGCTTTCTTTTCTCTTGAACATATAGCTAAAAATAGAATTGTGGGTTATGTATCTATGGTAGCTCTATGTTTAACATTTACAGGAACTGCCGAACTGTTTTTGCCAAGTGACCGCACCATTTGACATTCCCACCAATGCAGTATGTGCGAAGGTGACAATCTCTGCTCATCTTGGCCAACACCTGTTATCTTCAGGATTTTGTTTTTTGGGTTTTTTTTTAATGGCTGCCCTAATGGGTGTGAAGCGATGTCTCACTGTGGTTTTGATTTGAATTTCCCTAATGCCTAATGACATTGAGCATCTTTTCATGTGCTTATTGGCTACTTAACTATCTTTTCTGGAGAAATGTCTACTCAAGCCCTTTGCCCAGTTTTTAGTTGTTATTTATCTTTTCGTCATTGAGTTATAAAAGTCCTTCACGTGTTCTGGACTCAAACCCCTTATCAGATGTGTGACTTGCAAATACAGGGTGTGGTGAAAGTAGGTTTACAGTTGTGAGTACACAAAATGGAGTTTGTCCTCATATTAATTATTATATTATTTCCCATACGAACAACTGCAAACCTACTTTTGTCCCACCCTGTCTCCTTTCTCATTCTGTGGTTTTTCTTTTCACTTTCTTCATAGTGTTTTTCTTTGTACGTGTGCTTTTGGTATGATAGCTAAGAAATCATTACCTGACCCCATATCATGAATATTTACTCCTGTGTCTTCTTTTAAGAGTTTCTATAGGTCTTACATTTAGGTTTATGATCCATCTTGAGTTAGTTTTGTAAATGATGTGAGGAAGGGGAAGGGGTCCAAAAGCTGAAAGAAGAAAGAAGATGGAGAGTATTTACAGAATTTGTTATAGGAACCTTCCTAGTTACCATTTGTTGTTCTCTCCACGTCTTCCTGTGGATTTGGGTGACCTGGTGTCACTTCCTCACTTAACCTCCAGCGCTGTCTCAGCCCGCCTCCTTCGCGCTGCTATTGTCAAATATGTTGCATTTTTGTTATAAGCCCCCCATAGAATTATGTGCATATTATTTTATGAACTGCTTCTTAAATCACTTAAGAGGAGAATACTGTCTTTTATTTTAAAAAATTAACACATAATTACCTTTACTTGGCTATTCATTTTTTTCATGTGGATTTGTTACCAAAAAACCCAAAAACCCACAACCAAAAAACCCAGGAAAGTGAAGTGAGACAGATCAAATCAAAATGTACATAAATACGTAATTGTATTCAAAAAGAGAAAAAGCTAAACCTAAGAAATCAACATAAATAATATATAATTCTGAAGGAAAGAAGGGGGAAAAGAGACTTTCAGGCTGTAGTGTGTCCAAACTGGATGAAAACATCACGATGTTTAAAAAAAAAAAGTCAGAATTTTATGATTCCCCTCACTGCTTGGAAATTTAAACAGTTTTTCGAACGACACGGTAATGGATAGAGCTGGCAGGGCCAGGAACCCAGCAGGCGGACGCGCCAGGGATCCCCGGGTTTAACTGCTCCTTCCCGACCCAGGACCGCGCCAAAGACGAGGCTTTGAACAAGCAGCTCCGGAAGCAGCTAAGCGAGTTCCGAGTGCCGCCGGTGATGCTGTATGTCCAGGGGCAGGTCCAGAATGAAGACCTGGAGAAGACCGTCAAGACATGGGAAAGGAAAGTGGAGATTGCAGAGGTCAGTCACAGAGGGGCTTCGGGTGGGTGGTCTTTCCTGCCCTTCATGTTTTTGTTGGGATTCTGTGTTTCAAGCTAAGGATACAGGTGTGTGTTTGGACATGAAATGTCTGTGAGAAATCTCTGCAGTTGCTTCAACTCTTATACCAAAATAAAGGATGGCTTTTTTTTTAAAGCTTCTTTTTCATTGTTAGGGGCAAGGTCTTTTCATGGTATCAGGAGAGACTCTGTAGTAACAAGTGTGTTTTTAGTTGCTTGCTTTCATAGTGAATTCGGAAGCTTCTTAATCACTCCACCCATCATCTAGTGATTGCTGCTTCATACATGGAGCTAGTTTTAAAAAAAAATGAGATAATAATGGATTTTTAATATCCCTCAGAACCCGATCCCATGTGTTTACATAGTTACCATAGGCTTTTTTGTTTCCGACTAACCCTGCAGCCTCTTACTATGATACAGTGTGCAGAGAAGCACCGCAGCCCCTGTGAGCTGTGAAAGAGAAATGGGAGAGTGCAAACATGCGCTGGCATCCGAAAACAGGGGAGCACAGGCTGCCATGGAGGGCCAGGTTGCACTGAGTGCGCTTAAGACGTCATTCGCGGAGCATGGCGCTTTGCTTCTGGACCCCGGCTCCATGTTCCGCGGCAGGAAATCAATTGGGGTCCAAACTTGGGCCCATCAGATCTGAAGTTGAGAAGTAGCAGAGAATCACAGCAGGAACCTGCAGCTTCTCGCTTTACTGAACAGAAACAAGCTCTCTACGAGAACCTTCCAGAGGCCCCTAGGTAGTCATGCCTTCAGCGTGCAGAGCACCATCCCAGGGCTGCGTGGGGTTATGTTCTGAGTAGTCACAATCGATTTTTCCCATGTGACCTTCTCCTCTCTCCCCTTTTTCTTTTTGCAGATGTCCTTAAAAGGCTACCGCAAAGATTGGAATAAAATGAAGAGAACCAATGAGCAGTTGCTGGCCATGGGCCCCGCTGGGAAATAGCCAGAGCGAGGCCACGGCTGCAGACCAAAGAGAGATCTATTAAAATAATCAGCTCCTTTCCAGTCACGGGGTCCTCTCACTGTTCCACGTGGCGTCCCCGGCTCCCCGTCCAGGCTGACAGTCACCTCCCAGGCCACATCTGCCTGTGTGTGGCAGGTGTTCTCACAGCCCAGCCCCAGGCACCGTTACCCCTGAAAGAACCACAGGGCACTCCAATGGTTTGACTTGTTAGCCCACATTTAGTTCACAAGCACAAACGAAAGTGAAAGTGACCTTCCCGCGTGGGCGAGTGGGACAGAGGAGGGGGAGCCACGGGCCTGCCCGTGGCAGCCAGGTGTGGCACCATCAAAAATAGACACCGAAGCAGCGCGGTGAATGCCTGGCCCTCGGCATTCGGAGCTTGCTCTTCAGTCCGGAGGGCTAGCTCCCAGACTCTATACCAGTACAAAAGAAAACACGAAGAAAAACAAGATCATTTCTCGGGGCTCCCGTGACCTGCCCTGACCTGAAAGAGACCTGCCCGCCCCAGCCTGCTCACGTGATCTGCCCTGACCTGAAAGAGACCCACCCGCCCCAGCGTGCTCACTGTAATAGTCTAAGTACGCAGGCTCTAGGGCCACCTCCGAAGAGCTGCCCAGCTCCCTCATGTCCTCTCCGCTAACATCTTCACTTTTTCCAGGGTTGCTTTCTGGCTCTGAAGCTATGGCGGTGGTGCTTCCTTGTCCCTGGAATTGAATTTGGGTCCATGTAGCCTGATCCAGCCTAGAATATTTTTTCTGTGTCATGGTGGTGTGTGGTGAGTGTCTGTAGAAAGGAACCAAATTCTCCCAGCGGTACACAGCAGACAGGGGTAGGCCGGCCATCTTAGTGTTGGATGAGATCCAGTCGCTGTATTCTTCCACCTTGATGTAGAGAAACAGGCCGGGGCACCGCTCGCCGCCTTGGGACAGGATTCCTCTCAGCACCCATAGGTCTGACTTCGGTAGCTGGCACATGAAGGGGTTTCCTGGGTCCCCCTGTGACAAAGGGCAGAAAGCTTTAGGTCTAAACAAAATGTCTTTTTAAATATATCTGTGCAATTTACTCAAAATGTTTTACACTGGTTCTCACTGGAAATGGGGCAGATAACAGGATACTCTTTTGTTTGTTTGTTTTTTTTAATTATATTTTTTCTTCCATCGCCGCCGTTTAGTCCACTTATGTCCCTCCCCCTGCCCCCAGCGATCACCACACTGTTGTCCATGTCCATGAGCCCTTTTTCCTTTTTCCTCAGTCCCTCCACCCGTAACCTCCTCCCGCCTTAGCTGACATCCTGCTCTGTCTATGAGCCTGCCCAGGATACTCTCTCCAATCCAGGCAGCCATCGCCACAAATTCCAACAAAATGACTTTTCCTTTTATTATACAAATTATTTGCAGACGTCTGCAGTTTGCCTGTAGCTCTCTGGTCCGTATTTCACTTCTTGCTCTTTCCAGTACTTAGACTAAATCCTCTCCTTCTTTTGGTTTCTCATTCCTCAAACGCCAATATTCCTTTCCTTTCTGGCCTGGACTGGTCACATCCCCCAGCCACTTTTGTTTCATTTAAGCCGCCCCCTCCCGTCTGGAGTCACACTTCCTGGGGGGCACGCACGGGACGAAGGTCACAGCTTTTCAGCTGGGCAGCCACCTGTTTGCTGCACCTGCTCCCAGCATTCCCTGTCCCCATCGGAACAGTTCCCGGGGACTATTCTGCCACTCAGGCCTCCTCTCGCTTCCGTGGGAGGATAGGTAACCAGGCAGGTCACCTAAGTTTGAAAGTGGAATTGCTTCACCATGTTACACTGAAAAAGGTGACCGGGGGGTCCATTCAGCAGGTTTTTCACTGAGCGCTGGCTATCTGCCCAGTGCTACCCACCACAGAGACGGCCATGAATCTCAAGGGACTGTCCTGCGCTCACGAGTTCACCATCCCTTGAAGGGGCCACTGCTCACTCTCGGCATTGGGTTTGGACTCTGCCATGTTCTTACCAAGCAGACATCATTCGTCTCCTCCGCTACATGATGGCCACATCCTGTTTTCTGGAATTTTTGCAAGGGACACTGGTCGATGTCTTTCACAGAGATCCTCCTTAGGATACTCATCGTCATGCGATTCCCTGTCTAGACCATGCAACAGAGAGCCCAGGAATTATTAACAAGAAGATGCTCCCTAAGGCAACTCAACCACAACTCACACGTCCAGATGGGAGGGAGCAGAGATTGCGCAGGTGAACCCCTTGTCCTCATGGAAGCCAGAACCTGTGCCTGAGATTTTGCTGAAAACTACCTGTGCTTTGAATGTGCATATAGGAAAGAACATTCTCATCCTACCTGAACATCTATAGAGGGTACATTTCCTTGTTTATTTCCAAAGAAAAAGAAAACAAGGATGGCTTAGACAAAAGAACAGTTCCCTCTAGTTCAGGGAATAACAGCCCCAGCTTCTCCAGGCGCTGGCACCAACTTCAGGCTGCCAGCCACCTACACACTTCCAGTTTCAGTGTAGGACTAGGAGAAAAGGGACCAAATGTAAGAATGGCCACAAGAGGGGCAAACATCGGGAGTCTTGACTGATCGGGTGAGAGTTCCAGCCCAACTCGAGAACCCCAAGCCACCCGCGTCATCGAGCTAAGCCCCAGAATGGCTCATCCAGGCCCCCCCGCCCGCCGCAGCCAGCACACACACAGCCCCCTTGAGGGGGAGGAAGGCATTAACTGCAAACGTGGGATTCCATCCTGCCACCCAGCAGTTCCTCAAGGCCAGCGGCGCGCGCAGCTTTCTGGTGAGGGGACAGATGGGTCCGACCAGGTCGTTTAACTGCATCGCCGTGTCTGTCTTCAGGAGGGCCAAGTTATTGGTCATTGTGTCCCTGTCGAAGTCCTCGTGGAGGATGATGGTGCTGACTGGATACTCTTCGTGGGCGATCACTCTGGCATCCATGCTGGCTATGCCAACCACAGCGACGACGGACTGCCTAGAGAGCGAGCAAGGGGCCCTTGAGAAGCCAAGGCACCCCAGAAGCTTGATACTTCCCCATTTTCATAGTCACTACTTTTTCAGCCTGGAACACATCCAACTCCTTTTCTTTGGGCCGAATTTCTCACCCTTGGGGCCCAGTCCCAGGAAATCTTATCTGAACCCCCAGGCTTGTGCCCTCCTTTGCAGGCCTGCGGAACCTTGGGGATTCTTCTGTCTCAACATCCTTTGTCCCCCCGCCTCAAGACAACCTGTTATGTTATGGCCGATTATCTTTTTTCTACGCATAGTTTTTTTTTTTTTTTAACATAGTTGTAGTCAAATCAAAGGTGTAATCTTGACCCTTGATTTCAGCGCTTAACATTTTAATACAAGCATCTTTCCATATTATACATTCTGTCAATACACTTCAGGGTATTTCTGATTTCAATAATGATGGAGTTCAGTTGGGTGGTTTCCCTTTCTCCTCTTGGGAATCACCAAGGAACTATGGGAATGAAAAGCAAAGGCAACGCCATAAAACCAGGAGACGCTAGAGAATCCCAGCGTCGGCATGAGAGGGACGGCTGACAAAAGCAGTGAAGGACAGCAAGTGTGCACGGGCTGAGAGGTGACAGCTACTGCCAGGGAGGCAGGAAAGCCAGTCAAACTCGCTCCTCCGCGAAGACGGAGAAAGGGAAGAAATACACCATCACCAACATGGAGGCCCGTTTGGAAGCAGCATAAAGAGCAGAGGCCACAGAGAACACAACAAGGGGCACGGAAGGTAGAACTGAGAAAAGTGACCACCACGAAAGGGACGCTGATGAAGATTTTCTTAAAAGCCAGAGAGGAAAAGGACACATATGGCAGGCAACAGTGGGTCAGCAGGCCGCAACGAAGATAACCAGGATAACAAAACAGAAAACATTTCAAGATACAATTTAAGAAACTTTTCCGGAAATGAGACTTGAACTTAGAGTTGGGAAGGGCACTCCATATCCTAGGGAAAAACGGCGCGAGTGGCCACCTCGGAGATGTGTCCTTGTCAGCTCCCAGCAGGAAACGGACCACATGCCCAAACAAGGCCCACTGAGGAAGTCTAATAAAGGGGCTCGACAGAGGTGCTGGCAGGATATGGGGGACTCACAGGGAACAGTGTGGCGCAGCTTCCTGCTGCGGTAGCAGCAGGGGGCTGGTGTCCCTTCAGGCTCGAGGTGGCTCAAGGGAGCGGTCAGGCGGACCTGAGGGGAGTGGGGCTGCTTGGCTAGAGGACGCAGCCAGTCTCCAGAGCCCCATAGGGCAATAAGGACTCCCTCTCCCGGCACCCTCTGACCTCTTGCCAGGGCTCCCCTTGGCCAAGCCCAACGGGAGCCCCGAAGGCGGAGCACCCACAGGTATAACCCACACAGACCAGAGCCCTGGGACCCCGGGGTGGAGAAGAGTAAAGAGTGGGTCCGGAGGGGAGACGGGGGAGGACCAGCATAGCTAGTAAAGCTGCTGGACTTGAGAAGGAATCCTTGGGCACTGAGGCAAAAAAAGATCATCACTTCCAGTTTGGCCATCTAATTTATCATCCAGCCCAGGGAGCTTGTGATGGGAAAGAAGATGCTGGCAGTGGCTACTGGGATAGGAGGGGTGACCCAGGCCTCTCCCAGGTACATGAGGATGTGTGTCCCCCACCCACAGAGGAAAACATCAGACTGGCTTCCAGAAGCTGGGGTAGTATGTACTAAGTACTCAAAAGAAAGAGGCTGTGATCGGGGAATTCTAAACTTAAGTGGTCGTTCATGTTTAAGGGCCGTAGGTTTCTGAACGTAAAATAACCAAGGCCATAAGGTTCTTGGGTGCCCTTTAAGAAACTGCTTGAAGACAAATTTAGCCACTTCTAGTGCTGCACGGAGACAATCCCGCAGAAGGGCTGTCAGCAAGTATGGAATTCTTTATAATATTAGACTAAATTAAAACAAAAACTATTAAAAATTTAGATTGGAGTACAAATGTAAACCTAGGCAATGATCAGATGGTTTAACTAAAGCTGAAAAAAAAAAGAGGTTTTTTCCTCATCTTCTATAGGAGTTTAAATGTGATTTTTTTTATAGCTAATATATGAAGTAACAAGGATGTGCAAGGATGCCTATGAATGGAGGTAAACATTAAAGCACATATAAATATATCAAAATTGGGTGATGGAGGAGGAGAGAAGTGAAAGGAGGAGTTCTGGCATTGGCCACAGTGGAGTCCAGAGAGGATTTCCCAGAACGAAGTAGGATTATACACCTTCCATGAAATTATAACTCTAAGATGAACACGAGAGCAAAAATTCGAACTTTCCAAGTTTGTCAGAAGAGACTCACAAAACAAAGACCATATAATGAAAACAAGAAGCAATAAAAACAAAAAACATAACCTAAAATAAAAAGAAGCAGGAGTTTCATTCTGAACATCAGAAGAGCATGAAGACAACCAAAGGCTCTTAATGATGAGAAAGGATCCAGTCTCTAGTGACCACCTACCTCACAATTAGAAACACCAGCAGCAAATGACACAATGTCTACAAAGTAAAAACTCCAGGAAACAGGAGTATGATACACAGAGATCAGACCGTGAGGGCACAGTGAGTAGGTGGCCGTCCGCAAGCCCAGGAGAGAGGCCTCAGGAGAAACCAACCTGCCAGCACCTTGCTCTTGGGCTTCCAGCCTCCAGAACAGTCACACATTCCTGTTGCCTAAGCCCCCTATCTGTGGTATTTTGGTATGGCAACCCCGACAGACTGCTACAGGGGGGAAAGAAAACTCTCCCTCTGACAATCAATAAAAGAACCAATTCGTACAGACCGATGGGTGTTAGATGTCCATCAATGCATCGAGCAGACACTGGTGACAGAGCTCGGGGGCGGGGGGTGCTAGCTACTGACGTTCAGGACGGGAAGGGCCGCCTTCTGTGACTCCTTTGGTTCCTCACAAACCTCATACTTTGCACATGTATTCTCAGGTACATATGCATATCTTTTTAATTTAAAAATATAAATATGTTAAAAAATCCAGCAGCTGCACAATATTCTGTCGAAGGTTTATACGATAACTTGTTTTGTCAGTTATAGTAATTATATTATCTCCCCCATACTGTGTGTATTTATAGAAATAATTGTGTATAAATGATATTTATATACTATATAATTACATAATATACAATATACTATACATACTATGTATAGACCATTATATAATTTATGTTATATATAAAATATATTATATATACTACTTATATACTGTATTTTATATATACTATATAAAAGAGTAATATACTGTAATTTATTTATCCATGATAGTTGTACATTATGCTCCAGATTTTTGTTTATTAACCATCTTATGAACAACTTTGCGCCTAACATTTTTCCAGTGGTTGACATTATTTCCTTACTGTTGATTCCCAGAAGTAAAATCATTGGGTCAAAAAGTAAGATGATTTACAAAAAAAAGCTCTTCCTTTAATAACATTTGTGGGGCTTTTTTCTGGCTTAAAAGAATGCACATTTATTGTAAAGAATTCGGAAACACAGAGAAGCTCAAAGAAGAAAACTCCCAGAGATAAACGCCCTTAAAGTATCTGTGTATTTCCTTCGAGCCTTTTCTCCCTGTGGCCTACGCGCCGGTCAGCACATAGTCAGTGCCTGAGGCGCGTATGTTAGGATGAGGGCTCCTCTCCACGTTTGTGCCCTTGTGATCACAGTAAAACGGGAAGGAACAGCCTTCCTGCAGAGGCTGGAGCAACAAGCCTTTCACTTGGCAGTTGAAGACCCCAGACTGCTCCAGCTTTGGCGTCTGGTGACTTAAGGACTCCAAGGCTCAACGGCCAAGCCAGTGCCGAGCCAGGAAAAAGCCCCGTCTCCAGGAACCTACCCCCAGGCCTCCCCAAGCTGAGCGGCCCCGGGGCGGGGGTACTGGCCTGTGCTGAAAGGCGGACGCGATGCTGAGGATCCAGAACTCACTGAGGATGCTGCCGAAAGCCAGGTGGGTGTGCTGGGGATCCTGCAGGGACACCACCCACGGGAACTCCTTTTCTCTCACCAAACCCTCCTCAGAGTCTTCTACGAAGCTGGCTTTCTGGATGCCACAACCTGCAGAGGGGGTGTGCGGGGGCCTCACTGCTGGGGCAAGGAGTTGGAGGCCCGCGGCCCCCACCACCGCACTAGACCACAGGCTAGACCACAGGACCCCTCCTGCTGGTATGCCATGCTGTCTGGCTTTCCATATTGGTCGCCACTAACTCGACCGCCCCTCCGTTGCTTTTTCTTTTCCTTTTTAAAAGATTTTACTTATTTGCCTTTAGAGAGAGGGGAAGGGAGGGGGAAAGAGAGGGAGAGAAACATCAATGTGAGAGATACATCGATTGGTTGCCTCTCACACACCCCCAACTGGGGACCTGGCTGCAACGCAGGCATGTACCCTGACTGGGAATAGAACCAGCAACCTTTTGATTTGCAGGCTGGCGCTCAATCCCCTGAGCCATACCAGCCAGGGCACTTTTCTAGTCAGCCTCCTTCCATATAAAAAAAACTCCTGGTGGCATCTTTGAATATAAAAATCACATTAGGCTACAGATAATCATGCACTGGGCAGTATCTGAAGGGCCTCAGTTTCCTGTTCTGAAACCTGGGGTAACACACCCCTTGGAGCTCTAACGATCATGTGAGGTGAGGTTATGGGAAGGTGCTTTGCACATTGTGTCCCATGACTGATAATGCTAAACCCAAGGGCAGAATGGATTATTACATATTTTATTTTTCCCACTGCTCTGGTTGCTTTTTGTAAATCCCAAACCACAAGTACCCCAGTGCCTCTTTCTAAATCAGTAGCCTTGGGTCATGGATGTCACGTGATGGGTACCACTAGTCTATGGGTCAGACCATTTCCCGGCTGCTTTTCCAGCCATTCATGCCACTGCATACACAGCCCTGCCATGCGCTTACAGAGGGGCTGGGTTTACAGGGAAGGACCTCAGGATCCTGTCCGGGTCCTGGGGCAAGGTCACAGTCTATGGGGATACAGACGCTGAAGCGTTACAGCTGTACAGAGAGACTCATGACACAGGGCAGTGTGCCCGGAGTATATACCGGAGTCCTGCCCAGAGCACGCAGTCTGAGAGGCTTCCCCTGGGGCGACCTCTGAGGCGAGCCCCAAAGGCTGAGAGTCCCCGAACCATGACCTAGAAGTCCATGGTAACATCTGGTACTATCACTAAAGGACCACAGCAGCCCTCGCCATGATAGGGCCGCAGGTGACCGAACGCCTCTATGAACTGAAACTTGGACAGTGAGCGGGTTGTTAGCAAGATGATGTCCATAAGGCCACTAAGTCCCTGGGAACCACCCGAGGCAGGAATTCCATTCCCTCCCCCACGGGGGGCGTTGGCAGTCTACAGTAAAAAGGCCGTGAGCCAACCCTTCCTAACCCAACAAGAACCTACAGTTGTGTGGGGACTTCTACTTTTCCAAAGCTCTACGTGGCTAGCTCATCTGACCTTGTAAAACCCCTGCAAGGCCAGCATATAATAAGGAAATCTGACTCAGAGATGAAATGTTTGCCCCCGGTCTCTTGCCTGAGGCATAAACGGCCCTTTCTGTGTTTTGTGAGCAGCCCTCGGTCTCCACCGGTGGCAGCAGGGAGGTGAGGCAGGCCAGGAAGGCGGGGTTCTGTTGATGTGTGCCTGGGGGCTCTCTCCTGCCACCCACCCCACTTGCAGGTGGACAGGACAGAGCCCGCTGGGGTGGCGGCGAGGTGGGGCAGAGCCTGCCTTAGCCAGCCCTCTCCCTCGGCCCCTTCCAGGCTGGGCTCTCAGGCCTGGACCACCTGGAGGTCGGAGGGGACTGCAGCTGCCTCAAGGCCCCCCCGCCCGCCGCCCTCCCGGGCCCAGCCGTGCGACCGGGTCGGTTTCTCAGCACGCTCTTTTGATGTAATGACAGAAGTCTTCCCGGGGACGGCAATGCTCAAGTAGAAACACGAGCCCCAGGCCCTGGGAGGACACCTCCATGTGCCTGCCGGTGCCTGGGGGACACGGCCGGGAAGAGCAAGGCGTGGCAGGGGTGCCGGGGCTGTGAGGGGGGAGGCAGGCCTCGCACTGACCCCTCTGTCCAGCGGGCCTCCCCGCAGCCGGCCGTCCATCCTCCTAACTGCACTGTTTCCCGAGGCCTCCCCCTGACAGCAGGCAGCCGCCGTCCCCCTGTCCTACATCCACGCTCCACGTTCCACCTCTGTGCCTGGTCCCCATCAGTGAAGCTCGCTGCCGAAGCGCAACACGGGGCCGTCCTCCCTCCGGGTCCCTCTCCGGACAGTAAGGGCTGTTTGCTTTTCCGGGGCGATGCCCCCTGCCGCGTGTTCCGGCCCGGCTAAGTCCCAAAGGAAGCGAGGAGCACACTCACTGATGGCAGCGTGGGACACGGGGACGGACAGCAGCACCGAGAGCAGCACCGAGAGCAGCCGGGTCATCCCTGCCATCCCCCAGGGGAGCCGCGGCAGACACCATGGGCGGCTGTGGAAACAACGCGCAGGCTTTTCCTCTCCTCCCCAAAGGGCTGGCCTCCCCGCAGCATCGGCTGCCCAGCCCCTTCCCTTCCCGCTGACATCTTCCACGACGTGAGGGACAGACCTGTCGCGTCCCTGTGGCTTGGTCCCGTGCAGTAAAAGGGCAGGGGCCGGCTGTCCAGCACCGAGAGCCTGTCGGGATTCCAAGGTCGCCCGAGGAGGGAAGGTGGCCCACGCCCGTCAACCCAGCCAGGGTCCCCGGCTCCCCGGAGAGTTGGGGCTCAGAAACGGGTGGTTTTTTGACTCGTGGGATTCAACCCTTGCCTCAACCCTGTAGCTGTAAAACGCTGCTGAATGAAAAAAGCAGGGGTTTAATGCGAGCCCACGTGGGTCTTGCCCCTCCTCCTAAGCCCTGCTGGCTTAAATCATGCTGGACTTCCTTTAACCAGGGCCAGCTCACGCATTTACATAGTAACAGCCCCACCATTTTGCTCAGTTATTTTGCACAATAACCCTATGAAGCAGACACTCTCATTATCCCCATTTTACAGATTCAGAAGGTGACACTGAGACACTGAGGAGCCTGTCCAAGGGCACACGGCTGCCAAGTGGTGAGGCTGGAAACCAAGGGCAGGTCTGTCTAAATCCAAAGCCCATCCGCCTGCACCAAGAGCCGCACCTCCAGGCCCACCCTGGCCTCAAACAACACACAAGAGCCTGAGGAGCCCATGGGTGCCGTTCTCAGTCACCATGTTCCGCTCGTGGCACCGGATGTTTCTTGCCGTCAGGACGGTTCTGAGTTCTTCTGGGAACTGATCCTGCTAAAGGAGAAATGAGCTCACTCTGCCCGCACACAGCAAAGCCCAACAGAGGGATCCCTTCTGCCACCTTGGGAAGAATGTTCCATTGTGGCATCGTGGTTACCGTGGTGTCACCAAGCAAACGTCTGGACACGGGGACTCCGGAGGAGCCGGGATGAAAAGCCTGCCTGTTTCCTAAACTTGGCAGGACTATTCTGGAAGCCTGGCCGTCCCCGGGTCGGACCAAGGAGACATCCCTTTTGCTGGATCACAAAGGCCTGTCCAGTTGGGGCCCTGGTCGGGCCACCTCCTCCGCATCCTCCGCATCGCTGTGTCTGCACGGGTTTGTCAGACTGGACAGAGGGAGGCCGCGACGAGGGCGGGCTGGGTTTTCCCAGTCCCTGGAGCAGCCTCAGATTCCAGGGCTGGTTCCCTGGAGGCTCAGCCCCGCTGTCTCCTGCGGCTTCAAACCAGGCTGCCCGACGGGCTCTGTCCAATCAGGGGCCACATGGGAGCTGCACCCCAGCCACAGTGAGAAGCTTTGGTTCCAGCACGGATGCCAGGACTGAGAAAAGTGTTGACAACGTTGTGGTAATTTGTATCCCCGTGAAATCAAGGGCTTGCAGGCTGCTGGCGCGAGCACTCAGGGAGCATTTATCAGAACTGCAGATGGGTGGCTGATGGAAGGAAGGAGGGCCACTGTCCCCCGCCCCCCCGAGGTTCCCTGGTCCCCCAGTGTCTTACCATCCTCCATCACCTTTAACACTGAGCAGGGCCTGACTTCTGCTTAAAGGACAGACTGGGAACGTTGTTGACCGTGGGAGAGACGGGACTTAATCCTTCAGTATGTCCCGCATAGCAGGTATCAACGAGCTTTCATTTTCTTGTTCATAATTCACAATCACCCTGCCCAGAAGAAGGAATGACCGGAGCTTCCCAGGGGGAGACATGGTGGCTCAGAGTGGGACAGTCACTGCCCTGAAGCCACACACCTGGAAAGTGGCAGGGGCACAGCATCTCCACGGCTGCAGTTCTCAGCCTGGACCCTGGGCTGCCTTTACAGGAGGTGGGAGCAGGAAGAGGGGCTGAGCCAGGGTCACGGGGCTGCCTCCGGGAGGTGGGAAGCTGAGGTCAGCACACGCGATCCTAATGGCCTCCAGAGTCCGTGTTAAATCCCTGCATGAAAAGAAGCCCCAGGCAGGCCGCCAGGAACGGCCGCCTCACATGACCCGCCAGAAAGACTCAGAGTCCGCGGGGGCCCGGCAGACCTCGTGCCCAGCAGGCCTTGGATTTTCACCCTCTCTGGGCCCTTAATGCTGACCATCAACGTTAGGGTCATTTTTAAAAGATTCATTACAATTTAAACAATTAGTATTTAACTCTTTACAGTTAGTAATAATAGTCATAACAGTTTTATATCTTTAAAAGGAAATCCATTGGCAATCGTACGCCACGGGCTCCATATTTAGGATCATGACAACAGGAAACATACAGCTTCTCACCCTGTCACGCTCCATTTTCACTCTTCGTTTTTGTTAAGTGAGAAAACCCCACTCTCAATGAAAGGATTTCTGAAATCGCAGCAGGATTTCTGTTACGGCAGCTCGGTCAGACAGTTCTGGGTTTTCGCATTGGCTGTGGACTCCAAAATCATGGAGCGATTTTTCCCCCACAGATGACTGCTCTCGGGTGCTCCTGGGCCTACCCGTCGCGCTTGAAACCTGGGAGGCTGCGCATTTCTTTGGGCAGCTGCAAGTTTCATCCCAGGAGAGAGTGATCGGTGGACTTCCAGTCCACTTGGCCGCTTTTCCTTCTGAAAAATATTTCTTCCCGTTCCCTTGCAGATTTGGAAAATGGTTTTAAAATATGCCAATAAGAGCTTTACTGTGTCCCAAAATCTCTTGTAAAATTAACAGAACAAAAAAATAATCAAGGACTTGTTCATTTAGGTACTACACACTGTCTGAGCATGGCTTCCTCCATCACCGGTTTGCGGAACAGTTAAGCAAACTGTCTGCTCACCCAAATATGGCATGGGCATTGCTCGCCTGCACTTGATACAGCACCCCAGAGCGTCTGCAACAGCTGACAGCACCTGCCCAGGCAGCCTCTCCTCTCCCAGCTGCTGACAGCTCAGGCCTCCGCACGCTTTCCTTGGACTCTTCTCCTGAAGTTTGAGAGAGCAAAGGTAACTCAAAGGGTGCGTCCTCTGCCAGGTTTTGCAGTGAGATGTCTTTCAAGACCCTTGTCTGCAGTGATGCTCAGAGCTGAGAGGGACGGGGCTTTGCAACGGACCACACACTAGAAACCAGACTGACGAGTTTCCAGGAGAGGAAAATGTAATTTCCAGGTAGCCACTGTTGGACTCACTTTTGGATTTTTTGTTGCTCTTGTTGCTATTGTTTGGTTTTGTTGACACAGATTTTTGGCTGCCTATTCAAACTCATCATACGCTTCAGATTCACCTGTCCCAGTATAAGGGAATCACACCTGAGCGCTAGCCGCTCCTTTTGGGGTATGCTTCTATTTTCCAGCACTATTTTTATACTTCATGGGACCCCTTTCAGCCCTCCCCTCATTTCTGTGAAACAGAGTAACACCACCCCTTAGGCCTGATACTCCCCCGGGGCTGGCAGAGGCCTGTGAACCAAGCCCGCCGGTCAGGTCCTCCCACCCCAGGAATCTGAGCCTTGAGCCAAAGGGCAGGGAGAACAAAGCAGCTGGGACCACTGAGCTAGGCCAGCAGCAGGCTCCCTGGCTCTGCTGCCGCGGGGAGGGTCCCTTCCTGCGGCTTGCTCCCTGGGCTGGCTCTTCCCCGAACTAGCGCAGAGCCCACCAGCAAACTTTCCCGCATGAGAGTGAGAGGCAGTTCCTGTTGCCTGTGTCAAAGAAGACCTGACGGGTCCCCTGGTCTGGTCTAGTGCTCAGAGTGTCTATTCTGCCTCATGACTTTTAGGACATGTAGGATGAAGGAGTATCGATTCATAATGTCTCGTCAGCAGTAGGAACAGCGGCAGTCGCTGAAAAGCAGTGGCGGCGGCCCACTTGCATCCGTAACTGGACGACACGCATTGTACAACAGCCTCACCCGCACACATGCAAAATCAAATCTTTCTGAAATTTTAACCGTTCTGATTTTCACGAATTCTTTATCACTCATCTTTTATAGATGCTGGTCAGAGTTCTTATTATGGTTTATTTTGTAATGAAATCTTACGCTGCATATTTCTCAGACAGATGTATTTTACTTACCTATTACACTGAAAGGAATACCCCTCACTTCCACAAATACGCCCTCACATTTTTCATGAAGCACACAACCTTGTCCATTGATCTAATTTTCCATTTCCTAATTTTTGATGGAGACTGGATACAAAAATTATTTCATGTTCCTCTTAACACTGTGATGAGAAAACAGCAAAATAGGTGCGATGATAAAATGCCACGATACCCATCAGCATCATAGGTCAGAGGGATTAGGAGCAACAGGACCTGGGGGGACCGGAGAGCAGAGACCCTGCTTAAAGGGGGCAGCCATGGCCAGACCCCATCAGGGACCTCCAGCTTCCACACCGTCCGTGTGAGAAAGAACATCTTGCTGCCTTTACTAGGGACAGAAAAGCCCAAGGCCGGCATGAGCTTGCGCGCGCACAGGCTTTAAAGATCTCTCAGGCAGGAGGACACTGGGAGGTTTGGACTTAATCTTCAAATGGGGGACCTAGAGACAGATCTCCCAGCCCAGGTTGGGGTCTCCGATGCAACATTAATCGCAGTAGCCAATGGTGGAAGCAACCCGCGTGCCTGCCCACAGATGAACGGATGAAAAAAAACTGTGGTGCAGACATACAATGGGATATTATTATTCATCCTTAAAAAAAAAGAGGAAGTCTTGTCACATGCTACAACATGGGTGAGTCTTGAGGACAGGAAGTAAAATAAGTCAGTCTCAAAGAGATAATTGCTGTGTGATCCCACCTATGAGTAGTCAGACTCACAGAAGCAGAGAGTGGGACGGTGGCTGCCCCGGGTGACGGGGGCGGAGTTATTACGCAGTGGGGACACTTTCGGTTTCATGAAATGAAAACAGTGCTGCGGACCAGTTTCAGGACAATGTGCACGTACTGAAGGCGACTGAACTGTAAGTTTAGAAACGGTTAAGATGGT